TCAGGTTTACCTCATTATACGGAATGTCTGTAGTAAATTTAGGAGCTGGTTTACGGCGAGAGAATGATGGTAAATGTACAGATTTCAAGGTGGGGATCATGTTTACATGGAATAGGTTCTATTATAATGATAATACCGATCAGGCTTTCTTGGTGATCTGATATTTCTTTGTTGTGTAAAGGGACACCTCATTGTTGAGTGAAGTTAGTAGGCCTCTTACAGCCGTAGCATTTTCAATTCTTATTATAAGCCTGGATGGTTCCTGTTCTCGGATACTTTGTATCTTCTCCTGTAATGGTGCGTCATGTTTTGGTCCCTGTGATGCTATGAGATGATGATATGTTCAAGGAATTGGAGTGTTACTGACCTCACCATTGATTGGAACTCTGGAAGATGGAGAGATTCTTTCTTACATTGCACTGGAGGAGTCCATGGTTGTCATGTATTCTGTAATGGCTGTGGGCTAATATCTAGGTTCCTGTCCATATATATGTTCAAGTCACTCATGGTTCAATGAATTATTTGAGATCAATGAATTACCCTGTGGGACAACAGAGAACATGATTGTATTATTTTGGAGATGATGAAGAGGTATGTACTGATTGCACGGCTGATCTTGTTTTATGATTTTATAATAATATATACAGTGACATTTCTGAAACTCTATGATTCTTTATCCCCTTACTATGAACCTGTTCTTAGAGTATAATTTATGTATTGGGGGAAATTTGTACAGGGTTGGTGATTTTTGGTGATTGCTGTTAGCCCTGTGTCAGTGACACCTGTATATATATTCTGTGGTCATGGATGTGCGTGGTAAATGGTGCAGCCCACCAAGAAACCCACCAAGTAGCACATTGCCTGCTGGACATGACATTAACCCCTTCTACAAGAAAAATTAATTTATAATCCATTAGGGAAGGTGCATCAGGAAGGCTCAATCAAAATGAATAATGAAAACTCCACTGGGGGTACGGGAATCAGGAGACAATACACAGGGTCTCTCCTCCTGGCATGGTATAATAAATGTGGCTGCTGCAGAATTTACTGGTTCACTTGGTGTCCCATCCAATTCTTCAAGTCAAGATATTGGGAGTTCTTGAACAAAAATGCCCAACTTCAGCAAACAACGTATCTTGTTTTTGTAAGTTAGTCTGAAGTCAAGCCTTTGTGAATAGAATCTGTCTGCTTGTTATACAGTACTTTTTAATGAATCCACATCTTTGATATTTGAGTTCACAAATGAGAATATTTGGGGGGGGGCATTAATCCTATCTGAAATCTAGAAAAAAAATACTTTTTATCCACATTTCTAATTTGATTTTCTGAAATGTTGAGAATGCCTTAATCCCTTAAGGACCAAATTTCTGAGAATGTCTTATATTTTGCACCTCAAAACAACAGCACATGGAGAGACAAAATAGTATAAGAACAGACAGGTGCAAACCATATAAACACTCCCTCAAGTGCTTTAAATATTCAAATGTATATAGAATATAGAATGCACACTATAACAATCTCAAAAAACTTAGCTTTATTATGTACAAAAAAGTACCAAAGTGAAAACATATAAGAAAAAATAAACAAAGTGACAGAAGTAAGGGCAAACACAATAAAACAATAGTAAATTACCAAAAAAATTCTTACAAGCCTCCAGACAGAAACACGAGTCACCAAACCCCCCAACGTTTCAGCACCAACTGGCTGCCTTTATCAAGGGTACCTGTATCCATGTTCCCATGTGTCTGCTTATAAAGCCCTCTTACAGCTGATGGCCATCAGCACAAATTGTTACCAGCTCAGGAAGGGACATCATCACCTCACGTCCTGGCACAATATTTTAATAGTAACATTGTAATATCAAATCAAAACTGATTGGGTGCACTGAAAACATATATGGAGTAAAAAGAGTCATGGGGCCTAAAATAATAATAACAGATGTTAAAATTCTAATAACCAACCTCTATAGACAATAAGTGTACTCCCACTTTATCCGGTGTTCATAACCGCCATCGTACTTATTGGCAGAACACACACAAACACCTGTATAAATATCCTGCTCGCGCATGCGCATAATGGCAAACTGCCGTGTATGCACATAGCAACACCATACCTGCGCAGGCGCAGGCGGCAACTAACAATCAAAATAATGCAATGAGCATTAATAATCTATATTAATTATACTCCATAAGTATCAATACCCCACATACAAATACACTAAGCATATATTACATATGTACATGCAAAAGAGGACTAATAAGAATAAATAGTCATAAATCCACCTTATAAATAGAAAATAATCGGTGAGCCTATACATGAAATATCTCCCACCAATATTATAAAGCAAAACACAGGAAAAAAAAGACACCAAAAAGTGATGTGCAGAAAAGTATTTTAATTCGACAAACACCCAATGTGTGATAGATAGATTACTACAGATGCCAAACAGGCAATGATAATACATAGCAGTTCTCCACGTAATACTGACTTAGCTGTGTAATAACTGTCCAAAAAATTAATTCAATACATTAACATATTTACACAAAAAAATAAAAATTAGAAAAATCATTCATATTGTACACAAGATAATATAATACAATGTAACCCACACATTAAGAGGCTATTCATCATCAATTTAAAGATACAACTACATATTCAGAAATTACATCACAAGCATGTATCATTCTATAAATATATCAATATTATTAAATAATTCACTATAAATATATACCATATTAGAATAATCGTTGTCACATCAACTTCATCAATCTGTACACTATACATACCCATGTCAACCACATAGGGTTCACATAGATAAATAACATCATACCATAACATTATATTTTGCACCTAACATTTTTAAGATCATGGTCTGGATATACCCTTTACTGTCATTCCCACAACACACAACCCCACCACCAATATAAAATGTCAATCATTTGTAAGAAACAAAACACACGTTATTTTTCTGTCCACCTCGTTCAATTTATTCTCTGTTGGATATTGTTATCGATCAGGCTGATATAATTATGAAAAAATAAATAATTCTGGATGTCCAAGCTATTGATTGTATCTAATGCTTCCCGTGTGTATGACCTGACGTGAGTCTGTCTTCTCTATAGAAGCTCGATAGGCCAAATATCTACGAACTCCATTTCCACGATGCTCTGCTAACATGTCGCTGTTTTAGTGCTATCTCACATCTCTGGAATGAAAGAAAATACTATCAGCTTGCAAATTTATACTCTTGTTGATTTACCATAACCAGCTGTACCAAAAGTGTAGACAAAGGGACAGAAAGACACAGCTCACAGAAAGACACAGCTCAATTGCCCACAAAAGCTATCATCAGAGAAAGCAATGTAAATACCGGCTAAAATTTATACAATCATTACTCTAATGGGTAATAAGGCAATTAGAACCACAATTCTGATGAAGGGAACATAACACAAAACAACAATCAAATACTCAGGAAATATTAAACACAATAAGTAAAGACAATCAGGAGATGGGTCACCTGGGGACACTTTGCCCAGTGCAGATACCAACACTACATATTCGCTGTCCATTTTACAGAATGAACGACATGGACATAAAAATAATTCTTAATTGTAATTAACAAGGGCAATGACTGTCACTGCTCCAAAATATTACATTAGTTACACATAGGTGTCATTGAGAGGACAAGGGAAGGAGAGAGATTGAAAACCCATCCCTTACATAGCCATCTCCTTGCTGTTCACTGTCTGTGGACCTTCATGGCAATGTCACATATGCTGGCTACGAAGTGTGCAGACCCTAAGTGCGCCATTTACACTAACACCGGGTACACACTTACTTGAAAGATGCCCTGACTTATTATTAGGTTTTTTTTTTCTTTTCCTTATGCCCCTTGTCCATAGTCATTATATTTATTATCTTTTCTTCCTTGCACCATATCTCAAAGCATGGACACCGCCATTTTGTTCTCCTCTGTCCATGTTGTCTGCAGTTTCCCCTTCTATGCGTTTCTCTTGATGGATGGATTTTGGGTAAAATGGAGACCATTGAGGTTGAAATGAAAACTTGCTCTAGGTTGCCAAAGATTACTCTCCCCATAAGAAGAGTAATGGGCTTAAATTCACTTCGAATTCACTTTGTATTCCTGACAATCCCCATTTAGAAAATGACCCTGATAGACGTGAATTGTCACAACTTGGCTCTGTAAGCCTGAGTTTTCCTATTTGATTATCAATTCACTGAAACTTGCTAATTAGCCAATAAAACCCCTCATTTTATTTTCAGTCTCCCTGCACATCAAAACATTGTCACAAGCTTGCTCCATTTTTCCTAGACGTAGACATATTAAAAAGGGATACCATATAATTTCTAAAAAAAATCTCCTCAATATTTCAGTAAAACATCAATAAGTGGAAGAAATAACAATTTAAAAAATAGAAATGTGCATAATATTAATACTCATATTGGCTTGAACATCCATTTAAACATAAAATTGCAATTTTGTGATAATTTTCATTTTAAAATAAATGTTATTTAAATTTTTTTTAACAAAGAAAAAGAAAGAAGAGGTTAAAGCTATTTGAATAATGATTATAGGCAACACTTTATTTCAAATATGTCAAATATGTAAAAGAAATCTGTCCCTGTTATTGAAATCCCAACAGGTCATCTGTAACGTCTGGTATGTTCCCCATCAGCATCATTCTGATTTACCATGTGATATCCACAAGCTAACCTTCTTTCTTCAAATAAATAATATCTTCAAAAGAAATCCAAATTATATCCAGGAAAATTCTGCTTTATAAAATGCGGAATTATTTACGTGTCTTTTTGAATAAGGTGACGATTGCTGTTATATAAAAATCTATATCATAGTAAAGTTAAATAATATAAAAACACTCAGCGTACAGGGAAATGTGGTCAGTGCTGTTAAATGTTACAGAACAGGATTCAGAATCCAGAAAACTTGGATGGTCTGTGTATGATTTATAAGGTGTTTGCTTGATAGCAGATCTGGTATTTAAATGGTGAGAAGACACTAAGTTACCAGTGCATTTAACTGTATTGCATACCTCCCATTATTTCAGACAGAGAAAAGGGATCATTTTCATTTTGGGGGTGTGAGGGGAGCGCGGACTGGACTGTTCGGAGAAATGTTAGGTGACCTATAATAATTTATGCATCTAAAATGTAATGTATAACAATTTACAACAATGTATCTTATTTACACAGACTGATTTCTAAACACACTTATTGTAGTTTAACCCCTTAAGGACCAAACTTGTGGAATAAAAGGGAATCATGACATGTCACACATGTCATGTGTCCTTAAGGGGTTAAAGACACATTACTGTGAGTACTAATGCTGTGGAGCTCTGTTATACACTCAGCTGCACCAACGATATGAAGCTCCTAGAAGAGAGGGACATTAGGAGAGAAAAGAGAGACAAAGGGATTGGGCTCAAAATAGGGACTGTGCTTCCTACATAAGGACACTTGGGAGGTATGGTTGTTGCAAATGGCCTAGAATTGGCTAATTTTACTAGAGATAAATACAAGCCAGCATTTGCTTGCAAGCATGCATACAGTGGATGTGATCTACTTGGATTTTGCCAAGGCATTTGATACGGTTCCTCACAATAGGTTAGTCTTTAAACTAAAAGAAATTGGTCTAGATGAATATTCTTGTTCTTGGGTAGAACACTGGCTTAAGGATAGAGTACAACGAGTTGTCAATAATGGTAAATTTTCAAGCTGGACAAAAGTGGTAAGTGGTGTCCCTCAGGGTTCTGTTTTGGGACCGCTTCTATTTAACATATTTATAAATGATCTTGAAATAGGCATTGAAAGCTATGTATCAGTGTTTGCAGATGACACAAAACTTTGTAAAGTAATAAAATGTGAGCAGGATATTGCTTTGCTGCAGAGGGATTTGGATAGATTGGGGGACTGGGCACTCAAATGGCAGATGAAATTTAATGTAAAAAATGCAAAGTTATACACTTTGGGGTCAAGAATGCACAAGCAACTTACACCCTAAATGGTAGTGAATTAGGGATAACCACACACGAAAAGGATTTGGGAATTGTTATAGACAACAAACTAGGCAGCAATATGCAATGTCAATCTGCAGTTGCTAAGGCCAATAAGGTTTTGTCATGTATAAATAGGGGCATAAATTCTCAGGATGAAAATATAATTTTGCCTCTTTATAAATCGTTGGTAAAACCACACCTTGAATATGCTATGCAATTTTGGTCACCTGTTCTAAAGAAGGATATCATGGCACCAGAAAAAGTGCAGAGACAGGCTACAAAATTGATAAAAGGAATGGAGCATTTTAGTTACAAAGAAAGGTTCAAAAATGTAAATCTCTTTAGTTTGGAAAAAACAACACCTCAGAGGGGATATGATAACATTATACAAATATATTTGGGGCCAGTACAAACCATTATCTGGAAATCTATTCATAAACAGGGCTATACATAGGACACGAGGTCACACATTTAGGCTGGAAGAAAGGAGATTTCATCTAAGGCAAAGAAAAGGTTTTTTTACACTAAGAACAATAAGGATATGGAATTCTCTGCCTGAAGAGGTGGTTTTGTCAGAGTCCATACAGATGTTTAAAGTGAAATTGGATAAATACTTACAAAAACATAACATACAGGGATATAATTTCTAATTAGTGGGGTAATAGCTGCTTGATCCAAGGAGACATCTGACTGCTATTCTGGGGTCAAGAAGGAATTTTTTCCTAGTTTTTGGCAAAATTGGAAGCGCTTCAGACCAGGATTTTTGCCTTCTTTTGGATCAACAGCAACAACATTTGTGAGGAAGGCTGAACTTGATGGACGCAAGTCTCTTTTCAGCTATTTAACTAATACTATGTAACCTCCTGGTAAAGGGTTAATGCGTTTCTCCCAGAAGAGCAATTTGTTACACATCCTTCTGAAATCAATCATCCACCTAGCGGACAATCTTCACATGCATGTAATGTGTTTAACATCAGCTGCCAGCACTGCAGCCAATCTGATGCATAACGCCCTGGCACAGAACTGGTTAATAAATCTCCAGCGTGAAATCCATTTCTCTGTTGCGGAGCGCGTTGATGCATTTTTATTTGATTCCTGCATGGAATGCATTCCATATTGCTCTGAAACAGATTCCTGTGATCAAGGAGACAATGTATTTCACACTCACCGGGAAGGGAATGGGTTAATGCCAGCCTGCCCTGTATCACGCCCTGTTTTACATACTCCTCAATTTGTGCACAGTGATTCGGGATTGGGAAACTCGTGGGTTTCAGGTGAATTTTTGTCCTGCAAATAGACCCATAATATAAATATATTAATAGAAATAGTATGTATATATTTTGCAGGACACCGGTGACTGCATTTTCTCAACATTTGGTTCAAAGATCGAGTGAGAAAAAGTCCTCAATAGAGTGAAAAAAGGAGGAGGCGTAAAAACAGATATCCATGTTTATATATTGTGTAATTATTAAGACATGATACATAAATCTAGAGTATTTTGTTACCGCTTCCCCTGGTTTCCCTCTATCGGTCACTTTTCACTCAATCTGTGAATAAAATCACATTTAATGACTCTTCCCTAGCCATCAATCATCAATTTTTTGGCTGCTCAGATAGAATTCCCAACCATGAAACAAACTAATCATTGTCCACTTTGTTATTTTTGTGATCTGTCCATATAATGTTTCAGGTTGGACGATCCGCCATTTCCCAAAACTTGGACGAATTGGAATTTGTTTGAAACAATGCACAGCCTACTTACTAACCTGGCAGTAAATGGGTTAATATAACCATTCATTAAATTATAATTGTATATAATAGGTAAATGTCAACATCTTCCTGCTTGAACAACTATTCCTGAACAGAATGGGTTAAACCAGTCTTCCTGTGCAAACAATGCATTACAACTGCCTCTGGCAAAGTATAGGTTAATGCGTCCTTTGCCAGTAATGTTCCACGGCTGTGAATAGGTTCACAAAGGGTGCATTGCACACTCCTATGACACACGAAGAGTTAATGTTATTATTCACTGCAGGCAATGCATTGCACAATAAGCTGATGGCACTGAATAGGTTAATTTGTTAGTATGTTCTGGCATTTAATAGGGCAATGTGTTAGTATCCTCTGGCATTGTATTGGTTAATCTGTTGCTATCCTCTGGCATTGAATGGGTTAATGTGTTAGTGTCCCCTGGTATTGAATGGGTTAATGTGTTAGTATCATCTTCCCAGATAATGCAGCACACATTACAGCACTGAATGGGTCAATGTGTTAGCATTGAAAGGGTTAAGGTGTTGATATACTCTGGCATTGAATGGTTTAATGTGTTAATGTCCTCTTTCCATTTTAATGCAGTACACAATCTCCTGGCACTGCATAGGTTAATGTCTTAGTGTCCTCTGGCACTGAATGGGTTAATGTGTTAGTGTCGTCCTCCTCCTAGTTAATTCAGTACACAAACAGGCACTGAATGGGTTAATGTGTTAGTGTCCTCTTCCCAGATAATGCAGCACACAATCCACTGGCACTGAAAGTGTGTGGCATTGGATAGGTTAATAAAAGCCTCCCCCATTGTAAGTACATTACACATGGTTAAGACCCAAAATGTGTTAATGCAGACGATGCTTTGCACACTCTGGCATATGATGGGTTAATACAAGGAGGGCAATGAATTACACACTGCCCTGGCACAGAGTAAGTTCATAGCAGTCAATGCATTGCAGCCACACTGGCACAGAATACTTGCAGGGGATTCATTACAGAATGGGTTAGTTTACCCTTTGTTTATAATAGCTTACTATTTCACACTGCCATGGAGCAGAAGGAAGCACAGAGGAACACAGAAAGGGTTAATGTCTGAATTCTCTAAAATAAATGGATTGTGAGCTCATGTGTCACAGAACGTTATATAATATATACAGTGTCTGTCAATGAATGGGTTAATACCGGCTCTGCCCACAGACAACAGTCATGTGAGGAGTTAATGCCAACCTTATTACCAGTCACTGTCTGCAGAACACATGCAGCCCTGTCACAGAATGGCACTGTACTGGCACTGTGTGGGTTAATGCCAGCCTTCCCTGCATGCAATGCCTATCACACCTATCTGGCACGGGATGGGTTAATCAGAGCAAACGTAGGGAAATACAGTCAGTTTTTCCCTCTGGTGACTGCTGACAGTGTTTGGGCAGAGTGTGCACTGTGCTGTGCAGACAGTGTGCTCAGTGCAATGCAGGCAGTGTGCGCTGTGCAGTGCAGATAGTGTGCTCAGTGCAATGCAGGCAGTGTGCGCTGTGCTGACAGTGTGTTATGTGCTGTGCAGACAGTGTGCTCAGTGCAGTGCAGACAGTGTGCTCAGTGCAATGCAGGCAGTGTGCGCTGTGCTGACAGTGTGTTATGTGCTGTGCAGACAGTGTGCTCAGTGCAGGTAGTGTGCTCTGTACTGTGCAGGCAGTGTGCTCTATGCTGTGCAGTGTACTATGTGCTGGGCAGGCAGGGTGCTTGTCCTGTGCAGTGTTGGGCAGAGTGTGTTCTGTGTTGTGCAGGCAGTGTGCTATAGTTGTGCAATGTTGGGCAGACTGTGCTCTGTGTTGTGTAGACAGTGTGCTCTGTGTTGTGCAGGCAGTGTGCTATAGTTGTGCAATGTTGGGCAGACTGTGCTCTGTGTTGTGCAGACAGTGTGCTCTGTGCTGTGCAGGCAGTGTGCTGTGCAGTGTTGGGCAGAGAGTGCCCTGTGGTGTGCACTCTGCTGACAGTGTGCTCTGTGCTGTGCAGGCAGCAGTCAGGGCATTGAAGGGTGGGCTGCTGTATAAACATGTTTCTCAGTGTCTTAAAGTCACATGGCTGGCTGTGAGAAGCCAATGGGCTGCAGACCATGCTGGTTTTATACCTGCCCCCCAGTAGTAAGTCCCTCACATGCACTGAGCTCCAGTCAGAGTCCTCAGTCAGTCCTTCCCCCCTTGGAGAGAGCCCCTTTTCATAAAATGAGCTGAAGGCTGCTATTGACTGGCCAAGTGAGCTGTGAAAGAGCATCTGACTGCCTAATGCAGAATATCTCTCCCAAAACAGTATCCCCATCAGCCTGATATCACCCTCCAGGACTCCTGCCTCTCAGCTCTGCCCCTGCCGGAACTGGAGGGACCTTCTGGGCATCACTGGATTCCCATCAATGGACCCACCCTGCCGGGAGAAGGTGCCCTGTAACTTGGAGTGAGTGAAGTGACATTGGGGGCAGAGCACGTGAAGCTGACAAGCTCCCACCCTGTGTACTCCTTCCAGGGGTGGACTTTGACCTCAGGGGGTCCTGCTCTCAATGGGGGAGGCTGCATGTGCTCTTATACACAGAGAGAGCTTCTGTAAGGGGTCAGCAGGGGCTGGCTGGACATGGTCATTTAACTCCAAAGACATTAACCCCATTCACAGAGATTAGTCCCTCAACAAACCTGGAGAACTGAGAGACCAGCTGTATCACCCAGACCAAAGATAACTGTATCCAGAAAGGAGAATTCTATGAACTGAGTCAACTACATCACTAAGGCCATCCTCCACTTCCATACAGATCAGCTGTGTCTAGAGAGATCTCCTATATCTACAGAGACTATATATATTCAGAAAGATCACTTAGATCCACAAGGATTAACTGTATCAAGAATTATCTCCTATATCTACAAGGACTAACTGTATCCAGACAGATCACTTAGATCCACAAACATTGCTTGTTCGAAGAAAGATTGATTGTATCCAGTAATATCCATCGTTTTCTGCCAGATGTGACTCAGTAACAGGGGAAGCCGTTGTGGGTTCCAGCACAGAACTGGTTTGTCCCAGAGAGGTCCTTGTCCCAGTCAGGTCACTGTGTCCAGAGCTGAGTGTCATCCAGAATAGGTCAGGGTCAGTCCTGAGCAGAGATTCCAGGAGTCTCAGTGAAGAATGGATCCAGGTTCCAAGTGCAAAGTTTGACTGCAATCCTGGACTGTTACAGTGATACTATCTCTTCCAGCAGGGAATACATGGGATGGAATGAACACATACAAATCTTGTCCCATCTATCTGACACTTCTTGGGCAGGAGAGAGGGCAGTCCTCGGCTCACATATGGATGTGATTGCTTCCTAGATGTACACAAACTAAACTCCCAGCTCCTTCCTCTGAGACTGACTCTCCATAATAACTGCTTTATTTGTATCTGTTGCAAAGCTTGGGGCCACCAGGAGTTATGGCTTATACATCCTGGGACAAGGTGAGAAGGGCCAGCCAGCTGGACTCCCTGGCAATGAGCATCGTTGGCTAATTGGAAGGTCTGTACAGATTCTGCCTTTGCTCTCCCACCTCTTGGATGCAGTGACCTTGGATATGGGATCATTTTTGGTGACTTCTAGTCTGTGTGTAATTCTCTGCTGCTCACTATTACATTCGGTTAATTCTCAGGTAAGTTGATGACAGCCCTGCTTGTGATGAGTTTGTTTGTTTATTTAATGTCTGTTTTGTTACATCTAGTGCATGGATACATTGTGTATTATTTTTATTTTCTCTATTTATAAAGTTAACATGTTTAGCAAAGCCCTCTTGTTTATAAATGTGGTTTATTTGATGTGTCCTCTCTATAAATCAGGGAGATCTAGGCTTTCCCCATGGTATAGCAAGGCAAACAATGGATAATTGGAATTAAACAGCCATACCTCCTTCTATAACCCCTGCCCTGCAATAAAACACCGAGTTTTACATATGGAGTAAGCCAACCCCTATTAATTTCATCCAGCTGGTCGCTGAACCTTCCAGTGATGTGAGTTGGAGTTCATCACAGCTGGAGCACCATAGCTTGTATCAGTGATGGGCAGCAATGGTCACTGCAGCGTTTAAATATATTTGGGCTGGCTGAGCATCATGAGAGTGTGGCTTAGATCTGCAGTGTCAAGGTGAAACATTCATGCTCTGACTATCCCTGGCATTTAGAGGGTTAAATACACATGTCTGGGGAGCAAATGGACACTTTGCCCAGACCCAGGCGTCCTATGTAACAGCTTCAGAACCTGGATGTAATTAAAATGTCATTGCAACTTACTGATGTTTCTATTTATTGTTTTGCAATTCTCTCTTATTAACGATTTTCCCTGCAGGAAATGGGCCTTAGCGTGTCTGTAGTAGTATTTCTAAAGGAACTTAAATCACTGATAAAACTTAAAAATATATATATTTAATTTATAAAGCTCCAACCTATTCCACAGCGCTGTACAATCTGACAAGAGGTGACAAATGTAAGCATGTTAGGGGGGTGTCATGGTCTCTGCTGTGTCTGAGTCCTGGTCTCTGTGTTGACTATGACTGATGTCTGTGTTGACTATGATTGATGTCTGTGTTGACTATGTCCTGTTATAGCTTACCTTACAGGAGTGGCTTTTCTGGCTATAATGTGATTTGTGTCCAATACCCCACATATAGAAGACTCTGGGTACAGGTCCACATGCTGGGTGCCCTGTATAAACACATCATGCTTACTGTAAGGATCTGCATACAAAATCTGCTTGATTGCTCTGCTCACCTACATTATTATGGGAGAATGGTTTTATAATTCTCCTGATCTCGTTTCATTATTGGATGCTATTAATCAAATACACAGATATGGCAGACTGAGTCTGACCAGGTTTAATGGCAATTCTCACTTGGACTGCAGTGATATCCTCCCATTGTAAATCTGAGCAGCCAGACAGGGACTATTTTACAGTAATATTTACTATTGGGGGTTACTGGGAACCTGTCAGGGAGAAGGGGGACCTGCCTTGTATCAGGACAGAACACAGACTGATCACCCAGCCTCCCTGCAGCAATGTGATAAGCCTGGTGATTGATATGCCTTGGGAAGTGGTTTAATGATTAATGTGTGTTTTACATAAACTGTTCATTAATTAGTGGCTAGAATAGTGAAAGCATGAGATTGCCTGAATGTGCCTCTTTAACTATTTCATTGCCAGGCTGGGGGAGGTAAATGAAGCAGTGAGGTCGCTTGCAGGGTTTTTCAGTAACGTGAGGATTGTTGGGGATTCCAAGTGTATTTCTCACTTCTTCAAGAAAGCATATCACTTAAACTGTTAGCAGGTTTTTATCCCCCACCCCCCATGACTCCTCTCCTGCAACTGTCAAAAAATTACCTACTAAGCCCTCAGTGAATACTTTTTTTAACAACCTACTTCGTACCCGTACTTATACCCTTTGTGTCACTTTACCCCACTCCCTCTAGAATGTAAGCTCATTGAGCAGGGCCCTCCACCACTCGGTTCCTGTACGTCCAGTTGTCTGGTTACAATTACATGTCTGTTAGTCCACCCATTGTACAGCGCTACGGAATCTGATGGCGCTATATAAATAATAATAATAATAATTTCAAAAGTAATTATTATTGGTATTATTAGTATGAAATTCACAATAAATTCACAATGAATTCCCGTCAAATCTCACTTTATTGAATTACTCTGAAAGTGAATTTCAAATTTAATTCCAAATAGTCAAACTGTAAGAAATGGTCCGAGTCAGTTTCACTTCCAGTTCCCGTATGTTTGTCTTAAATTCGAAATTCACTTTCAATTCACTTGAAGTTCTCCACAACTGCCACGTTAGTGAATAAACCTTATTAATATAAATTAGAGCGAAATCGCTCGGGGTTTCCTTTGGTGATTTTGTAAAATGTGTGAAATCACAGATGTCTTTTTTTATCATTCGAAAAACTGAAGCATTTAAAGCTGACACTGGACTGTCTCTTGAAAGCCGGGGGTCAATTCACTAATCAGGGAATTGGGGAGAATTAACAAGGCCGTAGTAACTGAGCTGGAAAAATAGCTGAATTGTAGAATTTTTTGCAGTTAATTTATTTTGA